GTGCAAATTGGTTCATTTCGCGTTTTGTTCATAAGTTATATAACTATATTTTTAGTTATAATAATTATTATTATGATTACTGTCCTTACCGTTTCATAACTTGTCAAGTGATTAATGACAGCATTTTTGAGAGAAAACAATATTGAATTTGGACCACTATACATATAGTATCACGCTAACTGCTATACAGATGAGCATCGGTACAAACGAGACAGTATCATTTTTGATATTCGATTTTCCGTTGTGCTTTTATATGATAAATATGCAAGTACGTATGCATTTTCTAGACGAACCATGGAGTCGCAGCTACCGTTTCGTGGATTTTTTTCCTAATACTTTATTTCAGAACCCCATTTGGAATTCTGTCAACATCCGAGTGAATAATACGAAACGGATAACCAAAGTCCCGAAAAATGTATTCCGTTTCGTTTCCCGTATATTATACCTCTCTATAATAATATAATACTGTACATTCATGCGCACTCGTCACGTCCGCCCGACTGCTGTTGGCACCAGACATATCTCGTCGAAACGATGTTCGTATTATATAATATTACAACAGTAGAATATACAAAGTATTCGAACCCGAAACGAATAGCCACCTCACTCCCTCGTCGTGTTACACCCACTCTGGTACAATGCGACTTGCTATTTCACGATTAAATTATTATAACYTAGTGTGATATAGTATAATATTATCACCAAGAAAATAATAKGATTTTTATGACCTAAAAAAGAAAAAAAACTATAAAGGTTCCCTGTATATACTAATTGAATTTATGCCCTTAAAATGCAAAACAATATAATATGTATTTAATGATTATGTAACTTATGAAATGCTCTCACGAAGAACTATGATTATCAATCCGTATTAAAATGAACAAAACGAACTACTAGGAAAAAAATTATGTAACGAGTGCATTAATTATTACGAATGATTTGTTTTTTTTTAGTTAAATAAACAATTCGACGTTAAGATTCGACAATAAGACGTTCATACGTCGAGTCAATGGAAAAAGTTTGTTTTTATGCACGATAATATTATTAATGTATTAAAGCAATTGCTTATGCCACGCAATTTCTTATTACTRCATTCGATGTTTCGTGAGCCATTTTTCAATTTTCCGGGTGAGTGTCTCACAGAATACGCGTGGTAGACAACTAAAAAAAATTATAAAAATTAAAAATGAATTGAGGCATTTAATTTGTTTATATTCTTCTTTTTTTTTGACGGGTCAAATTTAACTAAAAGTTCATTTCATCTAAACATGGAATTTAGTATTTAAATTTTAAAATAATTTWAAAAAAAAAACAGCAGATAATTATATAACACTTTGTAAGAACTTTAATGCATTTCAATACTTTAACTCAAATTTAAAACGTTTGATTAGATAAAAATTTCATTATATCCAAAGAATTCTAAAATATAATTGTAGGGGGTAAACCTTTTACTATAAAATATAAGATATATTTAGCAAAAAATATTTTAATTTTTAAAATGTTTAATTTATGTAAACTTTATTCAAAACATTTAAATTCAAGAAGATGAATTTTCTTTTAAAACAGTTTATTACTTTAAGGTACTAATTTCATTTCTGTAGTTAAATTAAAGCATTCAAAAACAGACAGGTTTTATTTAGAGTTAACTTTAAATGATCACACTAAGTATGAAATGATCGTATCTCGGCATAATTTATTTTAATTCCAATGTTAAAAATGTATAATATTTTTTGTTTTGTTTACGATGTGCATATTTTATACTGATCAAAATCAAAATAAGATTATTGTATAATATAATAAGTTTTTATTCGAATTTCAAAAATAAAAWATAAAAAAGCTGTCTATAATCTATATAATTTATTCGGTGTAAAAACTGCAGAGTAACATGTAGTATAAATGTACGATGTGTTGCAAAGGAATTCTTTAAATGAGTTGTAACAGGCGTACAGCAAAGTATTCTAAATTCCAAAATAACTAGTTCCAAAATAAAATGTGTAATAATCTTAAATGTCCAAGTGTCAATGATCTCCGTATACTGTATGCGACGTTTCGTAATAACGAGAAATYATTTGCTCGCGTTATTTTATTTAGTACGAGAATGATATTATTTTTGTTCATATAATCAGCATAATCTAATAATAATCAKCATGACYAAATATAAATGGAAATTTTGAAATATACCGTAAACTGATCATTTAGATATCTCTCTATAACAGCCTCGCAGCTGGTTACATAATTATTATATTTCTAACAATATCATTACAAATGGAAAATCATACAATAACATACTCGTGAAATTGTTGGTGTTCAATTTATTAATTAAAACAATTGAAATTAAAACCAAATAAAGTGTTCTGTGTAAACAAAAATATAATTTTAATACATTTACTGCACAAGTTATACCTGCCTACATTTGTAATTATTACGACCTGGCTTTTTATCGTGTTACATTTTATGTATGTTATTAATGTTAAATTTTGATAAATAAAGTAATAAAATATTGGTTTGAATATTTGAGTYTATATGTAGGTAATTTTATATTTATATCCACGTCAAACGAAACCACTGTGGGACAAGTGTTTTGGACAGCGGTTTATTGATTGAAACGTTGGTATTTTTCAGTGGTTGTTTGGGTTACATATAAGTATAAATATGCCATTTTAAACCAATTAATCTTTGATCAAATGTGAACATGAAATTATTACGTGGATATTAATTGGCAATTATATTTTAGATAGTATTTATTTTGTGAATCGAAAAAAAATACTGTAAATACTAAATTGTATTCATCTCGTGCCACCAAAATATAATTATTATTAATATTTCGTGTAAATCGGATTGGGTGACTGGTGCAAGAACGTACACTTTTTACTTTATACAATATAACATTAAATTTATCGAGAAAAAACATTTTTGTTGACTATTATAATATAATATTATAAAATATTATCATTGAGTTTATATTGTACAATATCATGGCTAAATACTTAGGTATGACAGTAATTCTGTGATACGCATGTTATGACGTCAGCCGGCAGAAACTATTATCACTACTTATTATTACGGTCAGTTCAGTTCTTATTATAGTATTTTCAATACTCCCATTTAATTTTCTTGATTTGGCAGATTAAAATCCTTGTTGACTGACGCCGTATTATCATGGAATTAATAAAGATTTATTCAGTATTCCATGAATGCACAAATAGAACGAATTTTAGTATTATTGCTGTCATACTTATAATTATTTAGCCATGGTACAATAATATACTAAATTATATTATTTAATAATCAACAAAAAGGATATCGAATTTACTATAATTTTAAATTTAATGAACAAAATAATATGCAAAGGTATTACGGTGTTTTACGACTTTCAAGTGATTGAAAAATAGTTTTAAATKACTATATGTTGTCAAGAAAACAAAGTGAAACAATAACTGCGCGTATCTCACATTAATGGAWAATTCAAAATTTCAAAAACACGATACGATGTCATCACAACATTAAAAAGAAAAGAACATAATATTAATTGTATATAATAATAATATGTAAAACCAAAGTAATTTAAAACCTTCTTCGTAACATTAACCATTCATGATGCAGTGCTTGAGTGCTGCAGACTGTAGTATAATAGTAATAGTAGATATACAAATCACAGACATAATTATTTTTATGTGAACATTATAATCATATTTCAGTATAATGCTGCAGAGGATATAATATTCTATCGACTGTTTACAATGTGATGTACCTATCTATACACATTTGTGGAATTCGAATAAAATTCAAAACTTAAAACGCTTGTTCTTTCCCTCACGCTCGTGATCGACCACCACAAAAGTGGCCATTACATATGTCATAATAAAAATATTCTTATTTTAATAAATRTGTTGGTCGATTTTTACTGTAATAAAAACATATYATTGCATAATAATGATATGTGGGTCTTAAAAATGAAAACACTCAGAATAATCAATTGAAAAGTTTAAAAATTCGTGTTCCTGCAGTCTAAAACAAATTTAAACATTTCTAAATGATTGTGAAATACGACGCAAGACATTTGCTTTATATTGGGTAGAAACCGCTTAAACAACTTAATACGCAAATTTAACTATAATAATTTTTATATACATAAAGTTTATGTTTTGGACATAAACTATGTATATAMATGGTATATTATGCTAGGTATGTGCAGTCGCGGATTCGCGAATAAAATAGGGTGAGCTGGACACTATAAATCGTTTTCGTGTAGCTATTATATTACTTGAAAAAAAAAAGCACAACATTTATTTTATTAAATATTGTCGACTTTACTTGCTTTCCTGTATGTATTAAACCATGAAAATTTGAATATTTAATAATGATTATGAGGTGTATGCATATTACGACTGCTTATTATATTATAGACGAATTCATTAATTATACATCGCATTCGACTTCGTCTTCCTGCTCGATGCACGCACAAAAATGCGTCAGTTATCTACTCTGTAACACACAAATAATATAAGGATTAGGGAYTTTACTTTATAATATATTCAACACTGCGGCTAAGCATTAACCCACCAATTCGAATGTGCTTAACCCGTTGCACATCTCGTACAGTCCGTACAGCACTACAATGATGAATATATTATTATATAAAATAYCATTGTTTCCAGCACTAAATAATTTTTCATTCAAAGACTATYAATAGTGTATGATAAAAGTGGCGGAAAATGTATTTATTATATTATACGAAAAAAAAATGATGACATTTTTTTTTCAAACGATTCATTACTGCGAAGCGCGTCAAAACAAAAGGCACAGCAATTCGACTGATGAGGTCTCAATGCACTCCGTTTTTTGAATGATTTTAATGCTCATTTCATATTGAAAAAAAATTCATATATTATATATATTTAACATTTTGTAAATAAAATACATTAAACATACTAAAATATTATTAAACCATCACAAAATGTATTTATAAAATTTTTACTTAATACTTTACTATTTTTCAGGTTTTTAAAACATTGTACTTAAACGGATCTATCAAGTTTATACTTCATAAGGTAAGTTTATAAAACGAAATACAAAAATAGACTTGTGATTAAAACTAATGTTATGGTAAAAATCAAAATAATTTAAATGACAAARAAAGTATATTTTTCCCGTTTTTATTCAATAATTTGGAATTCTTTTWATGTAAATTCCACTTTAATATCTCAAAACTAATGATATCATTATAATAATGTTAATTATTAAATGCAGAAGTTTGGTTATAAATTATAATCTAAATTAAAATTTTCAGTTTTTCTGTAAAATTAAAAATACGAAATGAAAAAAGATGGAACACTGTCTGCTGTATTTCTGTATTTTAGAATTTAACTAAGTAATAATCACTGCAATAAATTTGTTATATTAAAATTCAACAATAATTAATTTTTAACTATAAAATGAACCACAATGAAGAAGATAGGTGGCTATAGAATAAAAAAATATGTATGTATAACTTATAATAAATTGTTATTAATTTTTAAGGATTGGTTATTAAAATTGAATTTTTTATTTACAAAACAATTGCAAATTTTGCATTTAGGCTCAGAAACTACTTCAACGTTGAAGATCAAAGATACACACACACATATTCCGTTATTTAAACTCATCCACTTTACCTGTTATATAACATTGTAATACGAATTATAAATAAACATTTTGTTAAAAAAAAAAATGAAAAAACATTAATTTTGAAATCATATAATTTACACAAGTATTTTGTGATATGGAATATATATATATATATATTGTTAAATTATATCTAAATATCTTATTGGCTATACTTATTATATTAACTATGCAATTTACCGCAGATTGAAAATTTCTATTCAAACAATAATAATATTTTATCTCCTTGTAATCTATACACGTAGACAATTTTGAATTAATTAACCCATTATATATAACGTTATAACGTGTTGGACGTTGGTATTTTAAATTAATGGATCTTTTCATTACTCCATGCAAATGTTATCTATTAATTAAATGTCATATTCTACTGAAGCTAATTCAATTAAATTATGACATTTGAATTACTTCTTTCAGGATTACATTTACATTTTAAATTAATAAAGTTCAAAAACCTTACGGATTTTATTGGATGATTTAATGTATAATATATAATATATACAGGGTGTCCCGTGAGGATTTATCCATTGCGATATCTCTAGAAATAATGGTGATATCGAAATTCTGGTTTTGTAATACGACTCACAGGGATGAGAACTACAATT